ATGGTCCATTTTCTATGTAATGTGGAATTTCAGGATCCACACCTTCCAGAAAGAGGGACATCCGGTTCTTCCAGAGACTAAAGTTGTCACGGACAAACCGRGGWKGTTTGGCAAGAGAGCCATTATCTTGTGTGTGTGTGTGTTTGCAATTTGTAAAACCATTTGTAAGCGGTAAAGTTATCTAAAAAAGGAGATAAACTAATACAAAAAATAGCTAAACACAAGAAAGAGAACACTGCTCTAATACCACTTGTTGGTCCCGTAAGGGTCTACAAGAAGAGAAACAGTTTGTAGAAGGGGGGAGGGATGAATACAAACACAATATTTTCAAATTTAAAATATATATTGATAGAGAAGATCAATACAGATTTTACAAGATTGTTTGCGAAAAGATAATGTAATAAAAACCTATCTAAACAATCTTTGGTTACACACAAAGTCTTAGCAAATACAAGAAAAGAAGTTGCTGTAAAGAAGATCCTTTACTTAAACTATAAAATGCTTGAAGTAAGAATTAGGGTTAGAGAGTGAGTTGCGCGCACTCTGCATAGAGAATAAACACTTCTATTTATACCCAGTGCATTAAATGTTCATTTAATGCAATATGGTAGGGTTAGAGTGAGTGTCAAGCCTTAAGAGGAAGACTTGTCCTTTGCTACAGTGAATAGTACAAAAAGCACTATTCATGAGCAGACATCCTTACCTAAAGTTGGTGGACAAAGAGTCGACTAATCGGCTCCGTATCGTACTGACTTTCGTATGGGTATGAGTTTTGTCCTTTGTATGCATAAGGACAAGACAACAACAATCGTGCTAAGAAAACTTCCTTTGATCGCTGAATGCTGGAATGACCTGAAGGTCTCATCATCAATCGCTGAAGTTTGAGCAGGCTTCACACATATGTAGACAGACTTGTAATCACAGAATACCGCTTCAGATCACGTACTCGTCAGTCTCTAATCTTCAGTTCAGTCTTCGACGTTTGCTGAAGGTTCTTTGGTGTGAGTGTTGTTTTCTTGAAGTATTGTTGTCTCTGATAGATTTACAATGCAAGTTCTTCAGCAGTCACTGAACATACTCAGTGAAGATCGCTGGAACTGAAAATACAGAAATATAAATACAATGTCTAAGTGAAAAGGGATTATCATCAACTCACTCTGAGAGAGGATCAACAGTTCTCATAGAGGGCCAAGAAAACCAATTAGGAGATAACCACATCTCTGGCTGTTATCTCTCAAAAGGTTTCAGCTATTAAAACTAGCCTTAACCTCGAGGCACCTTCATAACCTCGAGGCACCTTCAGTTTGGTCTCCTCCAATCTCTTTAGTGATTTCTGCAATCACTGTCGTACCTGTGGCTCTGATCCCAACCGCCTCAGTGATCCAAATCACTGAAGGTGTGAATATCAGCATAGCCACTGCTGAACACCCACTTCCACCAGTCTCATCTATCTTCTTTTTTCCTCCTTCTTTGGTCTCGACACGTGCTCATGACTCATTAGCGATTTTCCTCACTGATGATGAAGCACCCACCATAGGACCTGAGGTTGTTCCTCTCGAAACACCTCAGTTAGTGGACACCTATCCTCTCGAAGGAAACCTGGAGAGAATTAGCATCAATCCTTCATATGGTGTTGATGAACCCTCAAGTAATCCTCTGTCCTACCCTTTCATTTCTTCTAACCCTGAGCTATCTTATGATCAAACATCTTCTTTTTCAGGTCCTTGCGATGAAGGAACACTAGCCATGGAGAGGAATATGACATGGCTGATGACGTGAAGCTGCTACTCCTTGCCGTAGAGATTGTATTCATAAAAATGAATAAAGTCTATAAAGGTAGGCCTCTCAGGGATGAAGTTTCTGCTGACCTCTCAACTGTTAAAGCTGACGTTCATGAGGTCAAGGAAAATCTTTTTGTGGTGTAATTTGTTGTACACACCAACGCTGAGGCTATCTCTACTCTAACCAACAAAGCCGATGAAGTGAATGCTCAGCTTTCCAGGCATGGTGAGCTATTGCAGCAGATATTAGAGCTCCTCCATCGTCTACTACCAGCTCCTACGCCCTTCTTCACAACGATGGATCGCCTCACACTAGATCAGGCTCTCAAAGTCGGTCTTCTTCAAGCTAGATCGCTAAGCAAGCTTGAACAGGGGATGGACATCATAGCACTTAGTCTTGATGTTGCTGATGATAAGGAAGGGGAGAAAGATTTAGATGTTGCTACTAATGAATTTGAAGCTAATGAAGCTGAGGTTGTTGAAGAAACTATCCCTTCCCATGAAGCTACTGAAGCTAAGGTCTTTGATGAAGCCGCCAGAGCTGATGCTGAAGCTCGTGATGAAGACCTTCCTATCACCCCTGCAACTGATGCTGATGATAAAGAAGATGATGATGAAGACGATGACAATGAAGATGACGATGATTCTCCAACCCTTCTTGACGCTGGAAAGGATCTCAGTGGTGATGATGATGAAGACGATGACAATGAAGATGACGATGATTCTCCAACCCTTCTTGACGCTGGAAAGGATCTCAGTGGTGATGATGATGAAGACGATGATGATGACGACTTCACGATTTAGTACCACAAACCCGCCAACACTCTGAAAGAAGTTTCTCTCAGGGATTTTGCATCCCAGGGGGAGAAAGATAAAGAAAAAGAGAAGGAGATTTCCACAAAGAACCAGAACACCGCGTCGAAAGACAAATGTGTTGCTGAAGAAGAAAATCTCAAGGTACTCTTCAAAACCCAACCTCCAGTGTTCCTGAAAGGAGTCCCTTTTACTACCTATGGTCGGCCAGAGGAATGTGTATCTGAAAACCCAACCTTCAGTGTTCCTAGCGACCAACAGATGACTCAACTTAAAGAGTCACTCGACCAAACTAGAGTAAAAATCTCTCTTCATACCTCTATTTGTGGTGAGTTTGACTTCTTGTTTGAAGCTGAAAGACTCGAGGCATTCAAGGCTGAGGAAGAACTTAACCTTCAACGATAACAGACTGAGGACAACATAAAGTTGGCCAAGTATTTTGCTGCTTAAGTTCTTCCAAAGAAAAAGTCTAAAATGATGGTGAACGCTGTCAAGGCCCAAGCTAAGTTGCTTTCCATTGCAGAGGCTGAATATGAAAAGGCAATGAAGCTGAACGACCGAGATAGAAAATGAAGCGAAGATCGTCTGAACAAGAGAATAAGTCCTCACCGCATCTCAAACGTCACGATCAGTGGACAAATGAATGATGGTGGACTTCTCGTCTCAATGCTCATCAACAGACACAACCTTGAAGTTGTCAAAGAGTATCCTTCCTACCTAGGTCAGTACGGCTACAATAAATAGTTGGTAATCTGCCAAGCCATTCGGTGTTCAAAATCAAGGTACAAGAAAATAATTGAAGACATCCTCAGCGAGCTGATCAAGAAGATGTCTAAATTCGTTGTTGTACCTACAAAGTCGTCACTGAAGAAAGGTGAAAGAAGAAAACCTTCAAGTCCTAACGATAGACCAACTATGAGGAATGAACATGAAACAAAGTTCTCCTTGGACGATGTCCTGAAGGATTCGAAGAAGTCATACATCTCAATGTTGAACCTCTCTTTGCCAGTGAAGCTTCCTTACATACCCAACACTGTGTATCTAAAGCCCGAGTTTGGATTTATCTTCTTTGACTATGAAGGAGAACACGACTTCCAGAGAGTATATGAGTTTAATCTTTGTCCTATAGAACACCTAGATTATCTAAGGTATTGGTTGGACAATGATATCTATGGTGAAATGATAGACCGCAAGATCAGAAGAGAATTTCTACGTCAAAAGATGCTTGGAGAAGAAGTAACTGATTACATCGACATTAGCGACCTAGATTAGTTATGAAATTTTGTATTGTAAATTTATCTTTCATTGTATGTCTTATTTATCTGTCTTTTCTTTCAATGTACAACTTATATGTAATAAGTCTAGAAATGTACTGACTAAAACACTTGTAATTTTCCTTTGATTAATATAAGTATTTCATCAGCCTCACTGAAAAAGATCCCTGAAAAGAGTAATAGGGACACATGTCTATGAGTTCCAATATGCTCTTACAGTCACTGGCAATCTTTAGTCAGTGAACATGCTTTCAGTTTCAGTTTTCCTTCTTGTACTTTTTCTTAAACTTTGAACTTAAGAAAACCTATAAAGTAAAGACCGCTTCACTGAAAAGATCCCAAAATAGTTAAAAGGGACATGTACTTTATATGTAACTTTTCCTTACTATTAAACCTTAAGAAAATTTTCTTTATGTTGTTTTGTCATCATTAAATAGGGGGAGATTGTTGATCTTCTCTCTCATTGATTTGATGATAATCTCTTTATCTTTTGAAGTATTAGTGTTCCTGTCTTTTCAGTTCCAACGATCATCACTGAGTCTATTCAGTGATCGCTGAAACATGCATTGTAATCCTACAGCAACAGCGATACTTCAAGAAGACAAAATTCACACCAAAGAACCTTCAGTAAATGTCGAAGACTGAAACTGAAGATTAGTGACTGGCACATTCGTGATCTGAAGAGGTATTCAGTGATTACAACCTGGTCAACATATGTGTGAAAACTGCACAAGCCATAGTGAATGCTGAAGAGACCTCCAGCGTTATTCCAGCATTCAGCGATTAAATGAAGCTTGTCATGCACAATTGTTTTTGTCTTGTCCTTCCATACACAAAGAACAAGCCCATACCCTTTCTAGAGTATAGTACTGCATGAAGCCAACTAGTCGACTTTAGTGCCCACCAACTCCACGAAAGGATGTATGCTCATGAATAGACAAATGTACTATTCACTGTTGCAAAGGACAAGTTTTCCTCTTAAAGCTTGATGCGTATTCCAACCCTTCTGATTTGCATTTAATGCAATGGGTATAAATAGCTAAGTGCTCTCTTCATGCAATAGAACATACATCTATCTAAAGAACACATACGTTTATCTTCAAGCAAGTTAGAATCTCTCTCAAGAATTCTAAAGTTCTTACCCAAGAAGAACATCTTCTGTCTTTATCTTTTTGGCAAATCTTTTCTGTTTGATAAGTATATTTTTGTGTAATCTTAGATTATTTTAGATAGTTTATCTTTACCTTTTCTATTTCCACAAACAATCTACAAAAAAATTTGTATTGATCCTTTTTTATCAATATATATATTTAAATACGAAAGTTTTCTGTGTTTGTATTCATAATGCCTGACTTCTACAAACTATTCCCCTAAAACTCTTGTAGACCTCGCTGGGACCAACAGTCAACAACAGATATATTTTAAAGAAACCTTCAACGAATCGTCTGTAATATCCAGCCAGACCCAGAAAACCACGAACTTCAAATACGTTCGTAGGTCGTGACCAATTAGTGATGGTTTCAATTTTAGCAAGATCGACTTTGACACCTTCGTTGGAGATTACGTGCCCAAGAAAAGACACTTGATCGAGCCAAAACTCACATTTGGAACGTTTTGCATATAACTCTTTCATTCGAATAGTCTCCAAAACGATTTGAAGATGTTGATCATGTTTCTTTCTTAACTTCGAGTAGATCAAGATGTCATCAATAAACGCGATAACAAATTCATCAAGATAATCAATGAAAACCATATTTATAAGATCCATAAGGACCGCTAGAGCATTAGTTTGCCCGAAAGGAATTACTAAGAATTCGTGGTGCCCATAGCGAGTTCTAAATGCGGTTTTTGGAAAATCACAATCTCGGATACGAAGTTGATGGTACCTGTCATATTCGGGTTACAAGTTTTATTTTGAGATTTTGGAATATATATATATATATATATATATACTAGCAATGTGCCCGTGTAATGCACCGGGTAAGCAAGGTATGAAATTTTTATCGTAAATGATAAATGAAAAACCCTTGAGCATAGCTCAGTTGGTAAAGGGGTTAATCGACTTCGCTCAAACACACAACACATTAAAGTTCAAATCGTGCGGGAGACAATCTTGCCTTCTATTAGCCTCAATCACTAAGTTAGTTCTAAACTGTCTCCTTAACATATGGTTGGGGGTGTTTGGTTCGTTTCACGAAATGGGAAACATAATAGAAAAAAATATGTTGTGGGTCGATTTGGAAATATATATATTCATCACATTATTTTACATGCTTTTATTTTCCTTTCAATTATTGATGTTTGGCAATAAATAAATCCTTAAATTTTTTGATTCTGGAGCAGATCAATTTTAAGCTTTCAGAACTTATTGATTTCGAAAGTTTGGAAAAGATCAAAATTTAACCATGAAGCAAGGGATGTTTATTTACAAAACCATTTGATAAAAAATGTCATACACCCCAGTCCCTGGCCAAATCCTTCTATCAAACTCTAGCACGTGATAAATAAAATTATATGATTTGAATTTTGAATATTATGATGAAARTGGGTCTAAAGCAACTGGTGGGTGCATCAAAAAGGTAGAGATGTGGGTTATTTGAATTTTGAATATTATGATGAAAGTGGGTCTAAAGATGAATCAGAATAGTCTTTTCAATGGTTTTAGGCGGTGGGTGCATCAAAAGGTAGAGATGTGGGTTATTTGAATTTTGAAACTTATGATGAAAGTGGGTCTAAAGCAACTAGTGGGTGCATCAAAAAGGTAGAGATGTGGGTTATTTGAATTTTGAATATTATGATGAAAGTGGGTCTAAAGATGAATCAGAATAGTCTTTTTTGGTGGTAGGTAAGATGATGCCTTATAAACTTGTACCTAATGCATCACAATTTGAAATTAAGAGATTTTTAAAATTCATGCATTAAAGAGGAGTACCTAATGCTTTATAGGCAGTACTTAAGAGTTTGATGTAAATGCATATTAAGGTAGTATATATATATATATATATATATATATATAAAGATTTTGTGATTCAAATCCAATTGATGGACCTACTAAAGAATCTAGAGACTAATATGAACCATGAAGCATGAACAAAACTAATTACATTGACAGTTGAATGATCATTATTAACCCAAATGAATTTTGGTTGTAAAGAATACTCACATTGTATAGCTTTGCCTCTTAAAGAACTATACGTTAATACAAGCCTGAACCATTAATTGCGAGTTTGATCTACTTTTCAGACGATAATTTCCCTTCCTTTAACCAACATTGTTCCCTTACATGAACAAAAGAAGGGGAGTTTGAAGGAGGTAAAGGGCGGGCAGGGTGGAGCCCCTGCACTTAATTTACCAACATTAGGGATATTATGGCTCCATATCACAATAGAATGTATTTATTAGCTACTTATTGTTCATAATAAAAGTTGTGATAAGATTATCTAGCACTTCTCATTCAAGTTTATCAGAACACATCCAACGTAAGCAACCAACACAAGATCAAACCAAACTAAGAAATAGTTCACACTTCCAGTACAACATGGGGAATAAACTTGAAAATTCAATAAAGCAGGAAGCATTAGTCCAAAGATCTTTCACTGCAAATTATAGATTAACTTACATTTCAAATCTATAATCAGTTAAAAGTTACTTTTTGTGAAAAGACAACAAGTAATGTATATAGGATGAGAGAAGATCGAAAAGAAATACAGTATATTT